CCCCAAAACCCCAAAACCCCAAAACCCCAAAACCCCTGGAAGAAATTTATAGATTGGAAACAAGTTATATGAATTTTGAAGGATCAAAAATGTTGGAGCTTGCAAAGTAATCTTCGATCATTGGGGCTAGCTGGCTTGCAGTGTAGGTAAAATTAGTTTTAGCCTCAAAGAAATGCATCCCAATAGCGTAGAAATCATATGAGAGAGCAGCTTGTTCTTCAGTGCAGAAAGTACCGATATATTGCTTCTTAAGCCCAACATTGATCAGCGATTGCCACCTTTCATTGTTGGTCAGTACTCCGATATATTTGGAGCGACGCTTAGATTTTCCTCTGTGGAGCCCTCGAGTAGTTTTATCTTTACCTTCAAAAACTAAATCCTCTCCTGTTTGAACAGCTTGAAGTATTCTTCTCAAGTTAGCGTCTAGGTTAGGTAGGTTCACCTTTCTTTTTCTTTGCTTCACAGGAGCAACTTTTGCTGCAGAAGAAACCACTTTGGTGATTGACTTGGATTCTTCGGCAACTATTTGAGATTTTTCCAAACTTAAGGAACTATTCGTAGTATCTTGCTCAGACATACACCATCAGAATTTGTTAAGTTCCTATATAGAACTTAGCCACAGCTTAAAACCTATCGCTTACCTGTAGGATAGAGTCATAACTGAAGCTTATTCCTTGAGTAAAGTTTTGGCTTGAAACAGGCCAATTCGTCGTTTGATTCATGATCATTTAAATAAATTTTATAGAAAACCTAAATTATTATCCTTATATACTGTTCCGAGGGATGGCAGAGTTTGCCAGCAGGGTAAATTCATGAATTTAAGTTGAGGCCTTAGCATTTTTCTAAGGGATGAGTGAGCTTTTAGGAACTATTTAACTCTTCATTTTTAACAAAAATCGTTCAAAAGGAGTGCTAAATTATCAGAAAAGTTCTTAACATAACATTCTAGAAGGTGCTTAAATACTATAATCTAACAAACTGTGATCAGCCAGAATATGGATTAGAGATATGAAGTATAACATGAGTCTATTATCGATAATTAGCCTCTATGGGCTCAGATAAAGTCCTCAACCATCTCAGATTCAGAGGATTATAATTTAATGACAAACAAAAAATTGAATATAGTTGCCTTCAAGAAATCGTCCTGAACAGCCCTTCCTAATTTTGGGAGGTATTAAACATTTTGTACACACATGGGATCTTCCCAGAATTCTTTCGATTCTGGATGCTAATATTTTCCGAAGGTTAGTGACCAAAGGTATTATATCCTTCTTGAGGACACTAATAAGACTCCAAGTCGTTGAATCAACCACAATAAATCTTTACTCAAGCTCTAGAGGGAGCTAGAGCTTTTGATAATAGGAATGTTGAGTATTGGGGAAAATTTTGCTGTAATTGGGAAATTTGCCATCAATGATTTAGGTGAAAATTAAAAAATTGATTTGCCTCAAAAAGTTGCTGAATTTTTATGATAAGTTGAAGTGGTTTAAAGAGGAAAATTTTAGCAGGATGCTATTCTCATAATTTTAGATGGTTATAAGTGAAGAGATAGGCTCAAAGATCTGCTATATGAGAATTTAAAGCTAAAATATTTAAGAACAAAAGAAAAAAGAGAATAAAAATCTTCCATTTTTGTAAAATAAGGATAATTCTTAATATTTATAAACCCAATGACAACATTTTGTTTCCTCGCAATTTTTCTTGACGATATTTCCATTGTTAAAGTATAAAGACTCTTCATTCTCTAGTCTACTCTAAAAAATTCGACTTCCAGAACAGATAAAGACAAAATCTAAAAACCTCAGCATACATATCTCAATTCCAAACCCATTTACCACTACCTTACCGCTCTCCTCTACTTTCTAACCCTCTAAACTTCAGTTAAACCTACTATCTCACTCAATCCTTCCAAACCCCTAATTCATCTTCCTTTAAGCAGTTATCCTAATAAAAACCCTCTATTTCCCCTTCCGTCTTCATATCGCCCCATTTTCTTCTAAAATAATGTTTAATTTAAAAGGGTCCGTAAATAAAGTTAATAATTAACATTTGCCTTCTCAAACATCTGGAAATTAGTTAGGATAACCTTCTATTTAATAAATCTGGAAGGATGCTAAGACACTGGAGAGAATGGGAACCTGGATAGCTTAGAGAACCAATCAAGGCTAGAGGTACATGGAATGAGGTAGCTCTTTAGTAATTTTGTAATATTTAGTAACAATGTATGTTTTGATTAAGGCTTTCGAGTTTGCCCCATCAGAAGTTCTTCGTTTTAGATAAAATCGAGTCCTTCTTACATAAATTTTATTTACAAATTATTGAGACGAGCTTGTAAAGGGAGACATCAGTCCACCAAGGCTAGGAAATAACTTCTAATTCCAACTTCATCTTCATGGAACCAAAGGATGAGTTCTCATGAATCAATTTAATTATATACTATTTTTACGGTAATATCTACCGAAAATATCAGAAGCATTTGGTTTTACCCCCAGAGTCCTTTTAATGAATCCATGTAGATACAATTAGGATTACCCTTCAAGGCCATTCGGAAGAACCTCCAGGAGCCAGGGGTTCACCGATTTGGAAAACATTAGTACTTAACCAAGAACTCATCAGATATTTCCTGGAAGAATATTTGTAGCCTAAACTCTGCGATAAAAAGAATTCTAAAGCAGGGTGAGGTGTTTTGAAGTATCTCTTGCTGTATTTTTTAACTAAAACTCATGGCTCTCTTACCTTAAAACATTAAGCTTAGGAAAAGTAATGTAACTAATTCCTAATCTTTTAATCCCAGATTTCATCCTAATGTGAGAGATTTTGAATGAGACCAAGCTAAGATGATAGATCGACTCATGATCAACTTTTGTAGTTTAATCAAAGAGTTTTGAGTCATTTTATTAGCTGATAGCCACTAAGAACATGGATGTTTCACCTCCATATTTAGGATTTGAACTTTCCAATCGGCTGTTCATCATAAGGGGTTTTGGGGTTTTGGGGTTTTGGGG